AATGTTCTCCTATGGCTAGCCAGAGCCCTGAGCAAGAGCTCTACCCACAGCACCCCAGTATGGGTGGTGGCTGAAGGACTCAAGCGGATCTCTCCCAGGGCATTTAAACAGAGACCTGCAGAGACTATGATAAATTGGTAGCGTGGTAGAAAGAAGCAGGTAGAGAACCAAAGGGAGAGGAACTGAGTCATGAGCATGGGAGACTCATAGAGCTGCTCTTGGAGTCCCAGAGTTGCATCCGACAACTAGTGTTGTTTTTACAAAGTAACTAGTGGGGAATACTATTTAATATCTTAGAAAGACAGCTGAGACATATCCTGTCTTTCTGACAGCTCCATGAGTCTTTATAGTAAAGCCCCGTGCTGTGGAGGGTAATTCCAACAAGACTGGAATTAGCCTGAGTTGTTCTACTAAAATAAGAAATGAGCCAGCACAGCACTGATCTGAAACATACTGATTGGTGGCATTGCTTTGTAACCGTGTGCCCTAAGAGTTTCAGGATGGTCTGTACCAGCATATCAGCATTGCTTATTGATATCAGTGAGACTGATGATTTGTACCTGGTGAGACCCCGGAAGGCCTGGCTGCATTGCAGGCTGCACCTACGTGACCAGCAGATATGAGAAATCCCAGCTGAGACTCCATTTCGGTGTTTAATTCACATGTCAGTAATTCTTGATGTGAGAGAGAAAGTGGATCCTGAGAAGAATCTTATAGAGGGAGGACAATTGGAGCTTGCACGTGGCCTCTCTAACCCTTTACTGTGAGACAGCCTTTAGCTGTGATACTTATCTTTAATGTGGTAGCTGCTTCCTATCTTTTTCTTGTAATAAACTATAGATTTTTAAGAATCACCGTTTTGGGCTCTGTCAGTCTTAACTGCTTAACTGCTACTGTTAGTGCACCCCATTAAATGAGGTTTCCAGAGCTTATCTCTGATTCTTCCAAACTGAAAGAACCTAATTGACTCAGCAGGGGACAGATTTGAACTGAGAAGAGACTAGTTAGCAGGTGATTAAAGTAGCGTTACCTTAAGACTTGAGGGCCTGAATTAAGTAGGTGGCAGGAGTCAAGAGCAAGAGTGATCCTAGAGAAGTAGGAGGTAGAATTGATGGTGATGGGTCAGGACAAATTGCTCAAACCAATTGGATGAGGTCTAGAGTAGGGGAGAGAGTGAGGGAGGTGATGATGGAGGTTTCAGCCTTGGGCAGCAAGTTCAGTTGTGATGATTATCATTTGAGCAATCTCTATAAAGTGCAGAGTAAAAAGCTGCTGTAAAAAATAGTCTACTTAAAGGGAAAGAAAAAAAAAACTGGCTAGCTATGTTTACACTATCATTAAATGACACTAGATTCTGAAGCAATTCCTGGTCATTCTCTGGTTCTGGTACTGTGATTTAATGTATATGGGCTGGGTTATATTTTTGATACAATGAGCAATACGAATACATAAATGCATGTATATATGCAAATATTTCCTGCTGTAAGCCATTGTATTTGTATGTCAGCTATTAATCTGGACTCAGGCCTGCTGTGAATTTAGCTCACTCTTGTAGTACAGAGTCCAGCCAAAGTCTCTTGGTTAGAGTGCCCAGTCTCCTTTCCGGTACTTTGAAGAGGTGGTGGAGCTTCCTATGTAGGAATGTGGGCCCTGCAGTCAGCATGCCTACATTGGAATTCTGGACATGTCTAATTTCCAGGTATGTGACCTTGGGCTTTTGTTTTATCATCTGTAATATGGACATAACAGTTCCCCCAGTGTATGGTTTTGTGAAGATCACATGAAATAATACACATAAAGCACGTAGTAGTAACTGGCACATACTCGTCACATGTTGCTGCTCTCGTTATTGTTATTTTTGTAACTGTCATTATAATTTTCATCAATCACGCCTAAAATCTACTGGTTTCTTTGAGCAAGGGTAATTACCTGTTTGGAGCTTGAAGAAGAGTCAGAAAGCCTTGGGAACTCAAAACTGAATTCTCCTGTTTCTTCCAGATATTGTCTAGAGCACAGATTTGGGTCTTGCTTTAAAAACGCTGATATTGTCATTGCGATCTGTCCAGTTGGTAAAGAGATGGTTATCATCAATCTCACTGCGCCAAGCTGGACATGATCCTAAAGGGTAAGTTGTTTGCCCATAGTGAACTGTAAGTCTGTATACAACAAATTGACCCTGGCTCTGCGGGGCCCTGTGCTGTGATCCCCACTGGTCTGCATCATGCTGGTGACATCAAAGCGTATTAAGCAATGTTCCAGCTCTTGCAGCACTGGCTGTAATTCATTAATTCTGGCACCTATCTACTCCCAGACAAAGAGAAATTGGCTCTGTGATTGTCACTGTAATGATACCTCTTTTGTTTTAACAGGCACATAACATTTATTTCCACCATCTGGAAAGAAAATGGGGAGCCCTCTCTCTTCCAAACCCTCAAAGTCTGGGCATAATAGGTGAGAAAGCTTTGAGAGGCTGATTTGTCCTCTTTGTATCACTTGCATTTTCAGAACAGTTTTGAATCTCTCTGGGGTGAGGTGGTGACAATCACTTAATAGCAATTATTAAATGAATGTTTGAAAACTTTTGAGAACAATGCCCGGCACATTAAAAGTGCTCTAAAAGTATTTACTATTTTCTTTATTAGGCAGTAAGAGGTGCTTATTTTGGCTGGTTGTTTCATTGGATACAACACAAAGAAAAAGCAATGTGACATTACAATGTCTCATTTTATGAGACTCTGGGCCAGCAAACTTTCCCCCATCCAAGACCTAAGGTGGACATTGGTGCTTATTTTGGCTGGTTGTTTCATTGGATACAACACAAAGAAAAAGCAATGTGACATTATAATGTCTCATTTTATGAGACTCTGGGCCAGCAAACTTTCCCCCATCCAAGACCTAAGGTGGACATAGCTAATTAACCATGACACTCTCTGGTTGAGTCCAAACTTACCTACAAACCTCATCGTGTCCTTCCAGGCAGCCACCACCAATCAGTTGGCATTGGGACCTGACATAAAACCATTTGCCACCCCAGCCTCTGAGCTTACGTTCTAAAGAGACCTTGAGAACTCCGACACTCACAGTGAAACAGGTGTGGTGAAGCCAAGTTATTCTAAGCATGCTCAGGGCTTCCCAGTTCAAGGCTTGAGTGAAACCAAGGCTGAGCCTATATAACCACCTCCACACCCAAACGCATTCTTGCTCTGACCTCTTTGTGCTTTGAGATTCTTAATTTTAGGCAATCTTTTTGCTGAATATCTTTTCAGCATGAGGAGGTCTGCATTTTGCTCAAGTGTTTTCGAATAAGAGATTTTGTTCTAAATGAAAAAACACTAGTTTGGTTTAAGGGTTTGGGTGTCCTGGTATATAAAGTAAGAGAAACCCTTAATGACACACAGAAATAATTCCTTGGAAGCTGAAAAGCCTTAAGTGTACCTAGGGCAGCTGTACTTTTACTTCATTATAAGGTACAAACTTATTCTTCTGGTTCTATATTTTATAAAAGACAAAGACATACATTTAAACATTCTATAACACAAGTTGCAGCTTGTCCCTACAAAGCAGCTCTTAAACTGTTTCAGATCTTCATTTTGTCTAAGTTCTAATGCTGAATATAACTTCTAATTTATTTTTTGAGTTGAGCCAAGTCACGTCTTTGTTTTTCAACTTTCTCATCTGTAACATTAACATCCAATCTCAATCCAGCCAACATTTACTGGCATCACAGAAATTTAAAACATGTTTAACAATACTTTGCATATATAAAATACCTTAAAAAGGGTTGAATAGACAGGTATATATGTTTTACTTTGAGAGAACACTTTACATTTTAGATTTTCAACTTCCTCAGCCCAGAATAAAGGAACATTAAGAAAGTGATCTCCCGGTTCATAATGATTGTGTCTGCATGTAATTGCCTTGCTCTCAAATCTGGATGCTTCTACTTATTATATAGTCATGTCTGTGGGCAAAGCCCAGCTGCGCTGTAGTTTTCAATAGCAGTCTTACAGGGAGAATTTGATTAATTGTTGGTGTGACCAAGGAATAAAAATGACCAAGAAATTCTAACAACCTAGTTTCTCTCAGCAATGTTCCAGATGTGCTAAGCTGCTTTAAAGCCTCCTTCACTAGTATAGAAGGTATATTTCAGAGCCCGTAATAGGAGCTCCACTAGGATGTTTCTTCTGTGTGATTCTTTCCTCTCTGCAGAAGAAACCTTGACATTGGGGTCCACTGCTGCCCTCAGCTGTGAAAGGTGTTGCAACCATTTTTTTTCACATTTTTTATATATCATGAAGTAATATATGGATCAGAATCCTTACATTCTAGGATTTATTTTTCCTGTAATAGTTTTACAAAACATTCCAGGTTTAGAAGCTGTTTAACAGATTCCTTTCATATTTTCTGATCCAAGTATTCCTGAGTTCCTGAGGACTTTTCTTTCCTGAGAGAACTTGGTTCCTTTAAGCAGGGTACTCCCTGTGTGTGCGTCTGCACTCCTGCCTTCCAGGTACTTGGGCAGGTAAGGATTCCTTCTGCCTCTGGTTTTTTTGGTTTGTTTTTAAAAAGAGAATCCAAAATAGGTTGCCGCCTATTCAGGGATATAGTTGAGTGTATTGTTAATATTAGTTAAAAGGGTGATAACAGGAGAAACATGTGTGTGTGTATATGTGTTTTTTTTTTTTTTTTTTTTTTTTTTTTTTTTTTTTTTTGGCATAACAGGGCCATAAATTATATGAAGAATTCACCAAACAAAGACAGCAGGTCCACGAGTGAGACTGTTCTAATTGAATTGGTATTTGTACAAGGTGACACCCTCTTTCACACCACCCACCTACTCCCTGAGTGACTCAGCTGCTGAGAGAGAAGCCTCTGAAGTGTTCATTAGTACAGCCAGGTTGAGGCTGAGACTACACGGAGAAAACTCCAGGTATCCACTTGCTGCAGCTGGATCCACCTGGCGAGTCTCTGCAGGCTGGGCAGCCAACAAGTCCTGCTTTTCTGCCCAAGAGAGGTAGGTTGAATTACATTTGCAAACATAAATACATCTATTTTACATGCATAACATTCTGTTTTCCTTCCAAATGATTAAAATTAGAACTTACTGTATTATCTATGTCTTTTTTCCAGTTAAATTTTGACAGCCTCCAATGGTCTGTTCTGCTTGTCAACAGCTCTGCTCTTCCTTGTTGCGCTTTTAGATCGTGCTGCTTTGAACTTCTTGGCAGTTTTACACATTACAGCCACCACAGAAATGAGCACCTGTTTGAGTTTGTGTGTGGGAGCTGTCACAGGGTGAATCCCGTATCACACAAGGAGAGTAGAGTCTTTGAGTCACGGGACCAGCACCCCACTGGTCTGTTTTCTCAAGTGACTATAAAAATATTTTTTAAAAAGGTTCTTCCTGTCTTCATAAACGATGCATATAGTGAAATAGTGAATTCTGTTGTTTTACAGATAATAAATCATGTTTGTTTTTTCTCTACTGCTAAAAGCATTGCAAGTCACTAAGCTGAGAGAGAGAGAGAGAGAGAGATGCCAAACCTGTACCCCCTCTATCCTATCTTCCCCAAATAAGAAAATCACTATTTTTTACCTGAATGTACCAAGGAGTAAAGGCTGAATGGAGTTAAATGGGGGTGTGTTGTTTCCCATAGGGATCTGGGTGCATTTGGCCAACATTTCTACGTTGTATTCTGCAGTCTCGCCTAGGAAGTGATTCATATAGATGGGGGCAACTTTCAACCTCTATTCATATCCTAGTCCTGAAAAACCAGTTTTGGAAGTCTTTTGATAAGAATAGAAAAGTTATTTTAACCAGGCTTGCTTTTTATAATTCATAGCTAAGCTGACACTTCTGGCTTGTGATTTTCTCACCATTTCATGTATGATACAGAGTGGTGGGAATCAAACGTGGGGGCCCCTCTCAGTGTGCAACTAGCAGCTCTGTGTCCTGCAGAGGGATATTCCTCCCAGCCCGCCTGGCTCTGTCTTTAGCACTAGAGTTTCCCAAAAAGAGAAAGAAAGATACAACAATCACGATAATTCCTTGAACTTTAAAAAGGAGAAAACAGAACTGAGGCTACCAGAGGTTCCTCCCAGCCCGCCTGGCTCTGTCTTTAGCACTAGAGTTTCCCAAAAAGAGAAAGAAAGAAAGATACAACAATCACGATAATTCCTTGAACTTTAAAAAGGAGAAAACAGAACTGAGGCTACCAGAGGTGGAAAAGGGGTAGGGGTGGAGGTGGAGGGGCTAAAGAGATTTTTTTTTTGTGGTAAAGGGCCACAAAAAATGTTTACATTGTGTAGTGATAAAACAAAACAGTATAAATTTTTTTAAAAAAACTTTATTTATGGGCACTGAATTTGAAAAAAAAAAATACTAGCATTTTCTTTGCTTCCTACTGCTGACCAGGTCACCTACAGTCTCAGAGGGGTTTAGATATATCAGTGCTCAATTCCCAGAGGTTTACTGCAAAATTCTATAACTTGGCTTTCAAACATTTACAGTAATCAAAAAGCTAACGTATAGCATTTGTGGATTATAATTTTATTTTTCATGAAATGTGATCAAATTTAAAATTGGCTTTAACTTCCACAGTTTACAATGCAGATATGATTTTTCCCATATTTGCTATCCTCCAGTTTTAAAGCATTGAAAAAATCAATTTGAGAAAACTGTGATATGGCATCAGTAAAAACTTTAGTGAAATATTTGGATGATCCTAAATGTCAGAATGTACAGAGAATGTAGACAAACAGGCTAGAATTTATACTGAAATTTTAGCATCATGTAAATCTTCAATTTAATTGACATAATTTTTTAATTAGAATGAAGTATAGGCTCATCTAGTCTAACTCCTTAATTTTCTAGATGAGGAAAACAGCATAAATGTCAAGCAACTTGACAGGATCAGAGTAACAACCAGAATGAGAAGCCAGATGGCCTATCTTCTGTCTTACTGAATTTCTTGATGATTTTTCAAATTTCTTTTATGTGAAATATGTAGTAGCAATCAATGAGCGATAGTCCATCCTTACAAAAGGACTACAAGTGATACAGAAATGAGGATTTCCTTACCCAGCAATATGTGAAAATGCTATTACGGTGTGCATGCTATGACTGTGACATACTGGGGTACGTTTCCAACTTGTGGCTTGTGGAGTCAGTCCTGCTGTAATGTGTTATAATATATATATAATGTTATAGCATGGGGTTTTAATCTCAGGAGCCAGTAGCCCCTCAGTAGGGAGGTGATCAGGTATGTGTGCGTAGATCGTGGTATATACAGTCAGGAACAGCCTTACCTCAACTACCATTCTGTAGGTGTTGCTTATCTGGTTGCCTTCTCTAACTGCTGTAATTTTGACTGAAACATCTGAGAAATTAATATTCATGTGGACTTTGTAAACAGAACAAAGAGGATATATTTTGAATGACCGAGCCCATGCTATAGAATGAACTGTATGTAATTCACTAAGCAGTCATTTTAAGCAAACATTATTTAACTGCAGAATCCTGTACAATCTGGGCATTAACTCCAAGCATTTTTTAAGAGCGAGGTGATAAAATCCTTGGCCCAGCAGTCCAAGGGAAATCTTGTTGGTCCCTCACAGCTTCTCTTACGTCTCTATCCTCCTGCCAGGCTATATGCTGATCTTTTTCCATTTTCTCTCGCTGAGAAATTTGAAATCAGGGTTTTATGTGTTAATTGCTGTGTACTTGCTGCAGTTGCTTGAAGTTCACTTTTTAACCAAAAGTCTTTATCAACTATATTCCTTAAGTGTTTCTGGCTTACCATTGCACAAATCCATGTGATTTTAGGATTTGGGGGAGGCTCTTCCTCAGATGAGTGAATGTCTTCCTTTGCTGATTGACAGTTACATTTATTAGATTTGCATTTTATGTTAGTTGTTGCTGAACTTTTTAAGCGTATAAATCATCCTTTTATTGTAATCATTAATTGGAAGAGTGAATTTTATAGTTGTCTATTAAATGACAACTAGCTTACTTCTAGATACAAGAATCAATAGTCCTGAATACTCATTGTAATTGTATGCTTGAGAGCTCCAAGAATCTAAATAATTTAGTCTTTGTCTCTAGACCCAAGTTTCCCTGGCTCTAAAATGTTATTAAGTCTCATTTATATGGAAACTCCTGGGGGAAGACAGTGAACTATAGACCATACTTTTCAAATTGGGATACGCACACCTCAGGAGACTATGGCAGTATTCTAGAAAATGCACAAAAATTACAGGATAAGCATGACATCTCTGCATGAAGAACTAATTTTCGTTAAAAGGTTTTGGAGAAAACTATTCCTATAACCCTTCCCTCTTCTCACTCCTCCCTAGGGTTCTCTCTTTTGTCAGTAGGGATGCTGTGTTTAAAAGTTTAAAAGGCATTTACATACAAAAAAGTACAGGGAGCCAGAACCCAGATAAACATGAATTTGAATCATGACCCTATTTGGGTTGAGGGAGACTTGTACGAGTGTGCCTATCCCACAGCACCAGCAGATAAAAAGAAAAATCAGGATTCTTGCTGAATAATTAATAGATACATAAAATTATATAATTATATTATGTGCATATTTTCTTATATACTTATATGACATAATATGGTATATATAAGTGGACTCCAGAAAATTCATGAAAACGTTCGTATTATCTTTCCGTTTTATTTTTCCACAAACTTTTTGAGATACCCTCGTATATTATATGACTCTTTCACAATAATGCAAAAAATGCAAAACATCTAGAAAAAAGTCTCCACAAGAAAAATGTGGGATCCAGATAAAAATAAATAACACAATTTTATGGTGAGATATAAAGATAAAAGCTTCTTTGAGTACTGTTCCTGGAGAGATAGATCGAACATCATGTGTCAGCTCTTCTGCAACACTTTTATAGATGAATAGAAGTCTCCCCTGAAAGAGACTGAGAAGTTGGGGGAGGCTCAGAAAGAAGAACGTTTCAGGCATGGAGTAAACAGTACTTTTTAAAATCAAAAGTGATAAAAAAGATGAGCTCCAAGGAACTGGAAGGATTCACTACTGCTGAAGCCAGAGTTTGAGAGAGGAGTGGGAAGGAATGAGGCTGGAGGGTTGCTTACCTGTAAGCCTTGGTAGCAATTTGATCTTATCCTGATGGAAATAGAGCACCACTGAAGAGCTGTAAGCAAGGTGGAGATGGCACCAGTGAGGAGAATGAATTAGAAGAGAGTAAGTGTAAAGATTGAGAATGCAGCTAGAAGGCTGTTGCAATAGTCGGGAGATTATGGTAGTCTGAATTGGTATCATGGAAACAGGAAGATATACAACTAAGATATTTAGAAGTAGAGATACAGGACTTGGTCACTGCTTGGATTTGAGGTCAGAAAGAAGCTTCACAGATGGTCTACAGAGACTTTTAAAGAGTGGAAGAAATTATAAGGAGCAAGATAGAGAATGTATTTAGAAGTAGAGATACAGGACTTGGTCACTGCTTGGATTTGAGGTCAGAAAGAAGCTTCATAGATGGTCTACAGAGATTTTTAAAGAGTGGAAGAAATTATAAGGAGCAAGATAGAGAATGTGAAATTGAAATCTGCTGATCAAAAAAATTGGAATTAGAAGCTAAATAAAAAACTGGGAAAGTAAAGATGAATGTTTTTGATATATCAAGAAAATAAGAAATAAATAAGAAATCCATAATACTCAGTGGATAATTTTCAAAATAAGAAATAAAATAATGAATAAAGTGATGAAAATATGTAATTAAATCAAAATGATTTCACTTTCATCTATTAAATTATTAAAGAGATTAATAAACAATAATTCAAAATTCTGGCAAGTGTATGGACACTCATATGCTGCTGGGGGATTATAAATTGATGTAAGTTTATGGAAAGAAATTTGATAATAGGGATTAATTAAGAGTATTTTAGGGGCCGGCCCGGTGG